AACTCAAAAATAATAAAATAGGTAAAATTTGGGGTGAAGATTTCAAATATGTACTCATAAAATGACAATTACCACAAAAAAATACCACAAAAGTTTCAAAAATTTTCATTCAGTCAAAGCTGGGAGGAAGGCTAGTGATATATAGGTAAAAATAAGCAAGATGGATAAAACAATCAGAAACATGGCAGAAAAAGTGAGCTAGAGAGAAAAACTCAATTGAAATGCTGGGAAATAAAATTTCATTGTCTCATATACAACAGAAGGATAAAGAAATCACCACAACAAGAAAAAAAAAAGACAGGAGAAAAATTATTTTGGATCAAGTTTGAAGCAGAAGAAACAGAACATTGAAACCTCAATAATTTGGCTATATATATATATGTGTGTGTGTGTGTGTGTGTGTGTGTGTGTGTGTGTGTGTGTGTGTGTATGTGTGTGTCTGACTATACTGCCGAAGAATTTTAGCATATGATGAAGAGAGCAGTCCTAAGAATTGTAAGACATAGAAGAACTGAGATAAAACCCAAAGCCATATGGAACATATTGAATGAAATGAAAACATTGCTGCTTCGTTCTGCTGCTGCATTTGCTGTTTGCTAATTTGCTGGTTACCTAGATTTCTGAATTTCTGGAGGACTTGTGTTGGTATTGCTCCCCCCCAAATATCCTAAGACCCTACTCAACTGAAAGTAGCAGAGAAAAGTGTGTCCCCTGTTCCCACTAAACTTTTTTCTCTTCTACCCTGTGGTGAGTAGTTGGAAATGAGGTAGAAACATTTAATAACCTTAAACAATGTAGGTTTGTTAAAAAAAAAAAAAGGTTAGCAAAAACTAAACAGAGAAATACTGGAGCTAACAGACATAATAAGCCAAATGAAACTAATAGATATTTATAGAACCTTTCACCAAAATATGAAAGGTTATGCTTTCTAATCAGTACCTCATGGAGCATTCTTCAAAACTGTACACATACTTGAACACAGAGCAAGTCTCAACAGTTACAAGAAAGTTGAAATAACTTTTTGCATCCTAGACAACCACTAGGGAGTGAATCTGGATATAAACAACTGAAACAACAAAAATATGCAAACTCATGGAAACTGAACCGTTTTTCACAGAATGCAAACTAAGCAAAGATGTAAATAAGTAGAGAAAGAAAAGACTGTAATTCAAAGAAAGGGAATCCACACTATACCCCAATTTATGGAATATTGTAAAAGCAGTGCTAAGAAGAAAGTTCATAGAACTTAATGCCAATATAAATGTTGGAGAGTTTTCATTATTATTTACACCTGAAATAGTATGTTTCAATTTATAGTACACCTGAAAACTGTAGAACCCAAAGAAATAACCACAGCCAGGAAGACGAGATTGCAAGAAATAATCAAAATGGGGACTCAATTCAATAAGCTAGAAATAGCAGTATTCAAGTGGTTACCACATAATAGGACCAGGGACCGTCAATGACATGAACTCATGGGCTGGCTCTTTGATCACCTTCACCTGAGGGGGGAGCAGCCTTACCAGTCCACAGAGGAAGATAAAGAAGCCATTCCTGATGAGACCTGATAGACTAGGGTGAGGTGGAAGGGGAGGAGGACCTCCTCTGTCATTGAACTGGGGGAGGGATATAGGAATAGAAGAGAGAGGGAGGGCCTGGGAGGGAATGGAGGAGGGTGCTACAGCTGAGATACAAAGTGAATAAACTGTAACTAATAAGAAATGAAAAACAAACAAACAAAAAAGAACAGTGCATGGAGAAGAGGAACAGTGTAGTGATGGATATTAGTGGGAGAATTGTGTGTGGATGTTTATGGGGACAGTTTTACGGAAACAGGAAGCAGAAAGAAAATCCCAGAGAATGAGAATGAGCCACAAGATTAGAACATATTGCCAGAGTTAGTTTGAGGCCAAGCAGAGCAATTCAGTCAGAAGCCTACAGAGAAACCAGATTGAATCAGTCATCTTGGAGAGGAGTTTGGGCCAGAAGAGCTAAGTTGAACAAGCCAGCAAGAGTTCAGAAAGAGCCAGAAAACCATGAGGCTATTCAGCAGTAGGTCTCTGAGGCTGAAACATTGTATGTGGGCCTAAGTTAGCAGAATGAGGGTGGAAGCTGAAGCCTTCAAGTCTGGGCTTGCAGAAGATCAGTTTGTACAGAGGCTAGAAGCTTTAGGCCTAGGCTAGGACAGCTACAACACAGAAAGAAATGCTCTGGGCTCAGCCCTAGCCATGTGTTTGCACAGATTGGGTAAGGCTCTCATCTCATCCCCACTTCTTAGGAAATAAACACATTTTCATCTGGCCCAGAAGTTTTACAATCATCCATGCATTGTTTATGTAAATCATTGGGGGAAAACATCCAGAACTAAAATCCAAGAACTACAGGAAAAAAATAAAATAAAATAGAAATAGAGAATAATACAGAAACTCAATGTAATTAAGAGTGGATTGTTTAAGAAAATCAGCAAGACAGACAAAGACATATCAAAACTAACAAAAACAAACAAACAAAAAAAGAGAGACTGTCCAATTTAACAAAATTAGATATAAATATGGGGACATAACAAAAGACACCAAAGAACTCTGGAGAGTCATAAGAACATATTTTTAAAAACTACTTTAGCAAACTGGAAAATCTAAGACACTATCACAGTGGGAGTGGTCATTCCACTGGGTTTTATTAGTTGTCCATTTCTTACCCGTTATTCTTCTAGTGGCTGTAAACAAGAATTTAGGATGTACATTTTATTATCACAAGGTATATTATTCCCAAGGTTTTTGAAAGGGTTACATAATGCAGACTGGGTTAAGTTTTAAAATATTAAACTCAAAGCTTTTAACTTAAAAAATTTCTTGGAGGTAAGATAAAAAAGAATTAACAGAAAAAAATTAAGGGATTCTACCTAATAAACTTACAGGCAAACATATCTCAGTTAACACAGAGGTTTAAAAACATTATAGAGTAGGAGAGTTGACCATTTAGTTAGATGTGATTTACTCTATACACTTAATACATTACTTTGAAATTCTGAAGGATATTATTTTTCTTAAGTAAAGAAAAACTTTGTCAAAGAATAGTTGAGAACCACTAGTTTATATGAAGAACTTTTTTACTTCCTCATAATGTAACCCTTTAAGTATAGTTCCTCAGGTTGTGGTGACTTCCAACCAAAACATTGTTTTCTTAAACTTCGTGCCTGTAATGTTCTGATTGTTTTGAATCATAATATAAGTATCTGATAATTCAGATGGTCTCAGGCAACCCCTGTGAAAGTGTCTTTGGACCTCAAAGGTGTTGGAATCCACAGTTTGAAAACCTCTTAAATAAACCCATTATTGTTAATCAGAATCTTTTAGTAAAGCAAGAGTTTCTACTAATTTTCCTTCAAAAATCTTTCTGTGTCTACTAATTCTATCATATCTATTGGGTAGTAATAACCACTCGTACAGAGAATAAAAGATTCTAAGTGCTGGAACAGAAAAGCTCTGTTCAGTCTCGTACTGTCTCAGGATAATTTGCATCTCAGACTGATATTCCCTGGTTATCCATCCACAGTGATGTCCATAAAACAGGGTGATGTGTCCCAGGAGCTGAAGGCTATCAGCTTCAGACTTCCTGATTACGAAGCTGAAGGCATATTAATTAGGAATGTATTCAGCCAGAAGGTGTATAGTCCATTTCTAATCAAAGCTGCCTTGTAATCAGTTGATTAATGATACACATTTTTGAGAGATTGTCTCCATGTATAGATTAGATTGGCCCAAAAGTTGGCATTTAGTCCAGGCTGGCCTCAAACTTGTGAGTCTCTTGCTTTTGTCACTACAGTTCTGGGAGTACAGATGTGAATCTCACTCCTTCCCATGATATTTTGTGTATTTATGTTTTTCTTGTACTTTACACATAATTCTGGCTTCATAATTTACATCTTATATATACTTTCGGATTTCAGTAAAATGAAGTCCTGGCAGGTTCTGTGATTTCTCTTATTGCTATTGATTTTTCATTTTTAGCCAAACCAGTTTTTCACCATTTGGATAGCAACAAGCTCTGATGTACTGTTCTATTGGTGTCGGTAAAGTTGTTATGCACATTATTGTGGCTGTGCCGACTTCTGGAGAGATTTACCTGTTCATGATGTCAGAAGCACCTCTTAATTCAGTTTGAATACTGATAATTTCTAAATTACATTAGCATTTCAATTTCTTGAATAAAAACTCATAGCAGTGTTGGTGTACATGAAAAATTTATGAAAAATCTCTTTTTTCCCCTTTCATTTCTCGAGATTTAAATTCCTCTTTCAATTTCCTGAAGTTGTCGAGAAGATACTTGTTAGTTTTTTGCTGCATTTCCTTTGCTTTGAGATTAAAGTTTCTCTGATCTCAGTTTTAAATTAATGTCTACCAGGATTTCCACGAAGTAAAGTCTGGGCTGCTCTTTTCATTCCAGTCCCTTGTTTATCTAAGAAACTAGAACCCAAAAGTTCGAGTCCCTGTCTGCATCTTCAGTATAAGAGTGGCTTTAGAGATGAGTAATATTGAACACATTTAGCCTCAATTTTCTTTTTTCCTTTTATCTTTTCTTTTTTCTTTGATGTCATGTTTTCTTACTGCTTCTTTGTTGTTGTTTTTGTGATATTTTTTAACATATCCCATCATTTCCCTTAGACTCTAAATCTGAGACAACTCTACTAATGTTTCTACAAAAGTCAATTGATTTAAGTATGTCTTGGATTTTAACCCAGGCCTCCTATTAGAGCACCAAGTTATTTCCTGTTAGAGAACTATAAGGCAATCTTTTTCAGTGACTGCTCATGCTCCCCGTAATATTATTTTTGACTGTTGACTGACACCAGCTACACTCACAGACAATGCACAGGTATTTGCTTATGTATTTGCTGACTGCTTAGCATGGGCCTCCTACAGCCCAGCCCAGCTGCTGAGAATTTATAAACCAGCCTTTTCAGTGAAAACTGAACTGCATCAGACAGCAGGGGGAGCAAGATGGAGTCACAGACTCAGGTCCTCATATCCCTGATGCTTTGGGTGTATGGTATGAAACTCAAATTATTATAATCTTTACAGAGTCACTTATTTGCACAACAGAAATTTGAGTGTGTTAGGCTCAATATTTCTTATATAATGATACTCTGATACGATAGTAATACAAAGTAACTAATGATAAATTTCAACTCTTTTACAATCTGTGTTTGTGTTCATATGCATGTTCATATGTATTCCTAATTTCAGGTACCTGTGCAGACATCGTGATGACCCAGTCTCCATCCTCCCTGGTTGTGTCAGCAGGAGAGAAGGTCACCATTAGCTGCAAATCCAGTCAGAGCCTTACTTCAGGCAGCTCAAACTACTTGTCTTGGTACCAGCAGAAACCAGGGCAGTCCCCTAAGCTGCTGATCTACTGGGCATCCACTAGGCACACTGGGGTCCCTGATCGCTTCAAAGGCAGTGGATCTGGCACAGATTTCACTCTCTCAATCAGCAGTGTGCAGGCTGAAGACCTGGCAGTTTATTACTGTATGCAGTATTACAGTATTCCTCCCACAGTGCTTCAGCCTCCAACACAAACCTCCTTGAGAGTCTCACAAGCTGCCTGCACCACACACAGCCCTGGCCCTGCACACATCCCCCTTCTGTGTGATAGAGGGTGTGCCTGAGCAATTGATGAATAGTTTGCAGAGCCCAGTACAAATCATGGGTTCAAAGTCTCTTATATCTTTTGATATGAAAATACCTCATATGAAAATGGAAAAATGAACTCAGGATTTTCTTTCTTTCTTTTCCTTCTGTAGAACTTGGAAGACATAAAAGAGGCCAACAAATCACTGTAAAAAATCTGGAAGCAGATGTAGATGTTTTTAACATTAAACTGCTCTTAGAACACAAGGAGAATGACAAAGATGATCAGGATACTTAGTTTATAGAAATCCAGGGAGAGCAGGCTAAAGCAAAGTGGGCAAGACTCGACAAAGAACCAAGAAGCACCAAAGAGAGATACAAGATATTTTGTAAACTTGGTAGAAGTCCCAGAAGACAAATGAGGCTGTTCAAGCAGAAACCCAAGAGCAGAAAGAAACATATGCCAAAAACTCAAGAGAAAAGTTTTGTACTCAAATAGATGAAGTGCAAACTCCTTCCCTAGACCCTTAAATAACCTGCTGTACCAGCCGAATGTCTGTACTGAGTTCCATATTTTAGAGGTTTTATAAGAAAAGTTCAGATTGAGAAATGAGCTAGAGGTATTGGTTTTAGAGAAAAATAAGCTGAAAAGGGGATTCTGAAGCATCAATATATCATTTTGAAATCACCACAGACGTATCAAGGATGACACATTGAGCCCTTCAAAGCATTTCATCAGAAGGCAATGAAGGAACTCCTTTCCCAAAATTTCTCTTTTAAAGTGGCCAATATGAATTGCAAAAAATCACAACTCAAGGAGTACTTATAAAATATTTCCACTGGGGCTTTTATGTTTTTCAGGGGAGGGGAAGCTGAGGTGGTGGTAGGGTTTGTCACAGAAGCAGTCTATGTCCACCTGGTTGCTCTTAGAAGCATGATAAGAGCTGCATAGGACATTGTAATTTTTAGCTGCTTTAAAATATACTAGGAAACTATGAACTAAATCTTTAGAACATATATTACACTAAAAGCACATTTTGATATGGACTGCATTTTAATTGCCTATGCCAATACATGCAATTCTGAGCATCTGGACAAAAGGCTAGGGAAGTGTACACTGTGAGACTGGACCAGGATTTGATTCTGAGAAAATAACTGGGAGAGAATAGGAGGCTCTGGAGTAGTCTGTGGTTCATTTGAAATCTCCTGGAACAAAGTTAAGCAGTTTAGAAAGCAAAATTCTATCTTAGGTGTATATTTGAAACTGTTAGGTTCAGTCCCAAGCACAGAGAAAGAGGAATATATCCCATTTTTCAGAGTAGGCAATAGGAGGATAATTTAGGCTGTTGATTGACAGGAGTACTTATCTGGAATCTGTTAGATAGTTCTTACGAGGAGCCATGAAAATTTAATTTGGCTATATAATGTTGATTTGGGAGCATCTGTAATCTGAAAGCAGGGTCTGGTTGTGTTGGGTAGAATATAATTTGAGAAGCTCTGGTTGTGTCAAAATAGACTTTTGTGGGTGTTGTTCAGGCAGGTTCTTAAATTGAGATATTTTAAGAACATTGGAGAGTGGGGAGGGTCTTGACAGACAGTAAGAGGAACAGTCAGCAACATTTTGGGGAAGTTTGGTGTGGACAGGTTGACAGCATTTTGTTTTTGTTCCCAAGGAGGTACTTAGATGGTCAAGGATGCAAGCAGCCAGTACTGAGGATAGGGCATTGTTGCTATGGTATTGGCAGTGAGAGGAACTATAACTAACCAACGAATTTGAAGATGAAGCAGAAAGAAAACATTGGGAGGCATATAAGGAGTAGTCAGAAGAGTTGAAGAGAGTTTGGTGGATGACCTTCACCCAAGTGAGGATTTAAGCATGAGTGTGGTGTGTGTGTGTGTGAGAGAGAGAGAGACAGACAGAGACAAACAGAGACACAGAGAGAGGAGATGGTTTGGGTTGGTTACATCTTGTAATTGGCTGTGTAGTATTTATGGTTTCTTTAGTGTATCTGATGCCTGAGAACATCTAAACAGTTAATTAATTTAGGGGAGTCAGTTGGCAGTAGATGTTTGGCAATCATTTGGGCAGAGGAAAAGTATGAGTATGAGAAGAAAAATGACTTTTGTTGGGAAATGGTTATCTCAAGAGCACAGGAGCCTGAAGATGAGGATGAATACTAAAGGAGAGGACAGTCTAATGTGCCTCTCTGAGAGGAAAGAGCTGACAACCATATAAAAATTGCAGCAGAAGTAGCTAGCAGACCATCTTGTGTGTGACAGGGATGGGATAGGTGCTCTCAAAGAGCTCTCAAGGAGCTCCCTTTGTTCAGGGGTGTAGAGGATTTGAGAAATTTTGAGGCAAGGAGATTAAGTGTGGAATGATTAGGAGGAGGACAGGAAAGGAATATCACTGGTGAATCTCTTATAAGAGAAGTTTAGAGAGAGAAAAAAAACAGAGAAGGTGAAAGGGGTGGTAGATTCCATTGTAAGTTAGGAGTTTAGAGCAACTGTGATGAAAATAGATTTGGAGAGGGGACCCTGGAGCTTCTGCCTTTACCCTCAGCTTTAGCAGCTGTGGGGTGGGATATTAGTACTCTGAGGAACCGTAGCTATTTGCTAGATTTAGAGCTAAGCAGAGAGTCTGTGACAAGAGTGTGCAGGCAAAAATATCATCTGTGGACTGTGTTGTTTAGAGTTGTGAAGAGATATGTGATGGGGCAAAGAGCAGTGTTTGTGTATTTTGGAAGTCCAGGAATGGAAAGGTTTCTATATATCAGGGATGCAGAAGGCTGGAGCAGAAAAGAGAATGTTTAATACTTGAGGAATTGTTTGTGGAAGGGAAGTAAGTGGCTGTCCAGAAGTAACATGGTATAGGGAAGAAATCAGGAGTATGTAGGGATCTATGATGGAGGACGTTGGCTGAGACTGTAGAGATGGGGAGTGGAGATGGGGAAGGTGGTCTTAAAGTGAGGTGTCTATGGGAGGTGTGAGAGAGAACCTGAGATAGGTGACTTGGGGAAAGGAGATTTGTGCTTTGGAAGTTGAGAACCAGAAACCTCTAAAAATGAGGTAATTGAGGTGTGAGGTCAGATGGGCTATTAGAAATAGAAGGACTGTGAAGAAGGAGGTAATTTTTTTATTGAAGCAGGCAGGAATAAAAAAGAGAAGGCTAGTCAAGTCCATAGTAATGCTTGGCCAAAAGAATGGGGACTGCCTTTGAATCCCTGGGGAAGGACAGACAAGGTCATTTTTTTTAGGATTTTTGAGTATAAGGATCCATATATGTGAAGACAATGTGCTTTGGAAGTGGACATCCAGGATTATTAAGACTATACTGTCCTTAAGATTTAGAACTGAGTATATACTGTGTGTGTCTATCTGCTTCTGGGATCTCTCACTCAGGATGATCTTTACTAGATCCCACCATTGCCTGCTCACTTATAAGTGGATACTAGACATAATATAGGATAAACCTACAAAAATGTGTGCGCTTAAAAAGCTAAGCAAGAAGGAGGGCCCTTGGTAAGATGATCAATCCTCACTCAGAAAGAAAAATGGGATGGGCATTGTAAGAAGGAGAAAACAGGAAACAGGACAGGAGCCTACCACAGAGAACCTCTGATAGACTCTATGCAGCAGTGTATCAAATCAGATGCTGAGACTCATAATCAAACTTTGGGTAGAGTTCAGAGACTCTTATGAAAGAATGGGGAGATAGTAAAACCTGGAGAGGACAAGAGCTCTACAAGGAGAACAACAGAACCAAATAATCTGGCACAGGGTCTTTTCTGAGCCTGATACTCCAACCAAGGCCTTTTGTGGCTCTAACCTAGTACCCCTGTTCAGATTTAGCTCATGGCAGCTCAGTATCCAAGTGACTTCCCTAGTAAAGGAACAGGAACTGTCTCTGACATGAACTCAGTGGTGGGCTCTTTGACCACTTCACCAAAGGTGGGAGCAGCCTTATCAGGCCACAGAGCAGAACAATGCAGCCAGTCCTAATGAGACCTGATAAGCTAGGGTCACATGGAAGGTGAGTGGACCTCCTCTATCAGTGAACTTGGAGAGGGGAATTGGAGGAGATGAGGGAGAGAGGGTGGGATTGGGAGGAAATGAGATAGGGGGCTACAGCTGAGACACAAAGTGAATAAACTGTAATATAATTTTTTTTAAAAGAAAAACTGAAAAAAAAGATTTAGGAGTGAAAAGTGAGTGGTGTGGTCAGTGACGATGGAGGATAGCTTAAGGATGTAAAGAGAGAGCAGTTAACAAAACAAAGATATTAGACTAGGTGTAAGGTTTTGTTAGGTTTTTTGTTTATTTCTTTGTGGTTTTTTGCTGTTAATATGTGCTGTTAATATTGTACGGTGAGAAGGTAGAACATAAAAATGATTGGTATGAGGCCTAGGGGAGGCTGATTAAGCGTAAGGAATATCTAGTTTGGAGATGTATGCAGAAGGGTCTGCAAGTATAATAGAGAAAAGTTTATGATGCTCAACAAGGGAAGCAGAGGTGGTGTCCCATACAGTGGGATTGACCAAAGAAGTGGGCAGAGGATAAGAAGGCCTTGGGGATTGAGAGACTGAAAGTGTACAGAGTCTGAGGAAGGAAGAGGAGGTAACATGCAGTCTCCTGGGAGCTGTTATCAGGGGCAGAAAGGCAAATATATGTCAATTCTGCAGAAGACATCTTTTTTAGGAAAGGAATGGGACATTGGGCAATGAGACAAAAATCCTTGAAAGGAGCAATTTAAGGGAGAAATATGAATGAGCCTGGAGAACTGGTTGTGAATTATGACTATGGGTGATAGAGAGGGATGAGTGGAACCCCAACAGTAGCATAGAGAGGAGGAACAAAATTTGAAACAACTCTTTCACAGTTTGAATTACTCTCCCAGATGTATAAATCACTTTCTTGGGCTTTCATATCTTCACACATTACACAATTTCTTGTCCTAACTTAAGACAGACCTATAAGTCTTGGACCTACATAACTTGTTTCCTTTGGTTTTCTCTTGACACATATAACTTAATTGTCTTTGTCTCATTACCTTTAGAAACTCCCATCTTTCTTAGTTTGAAGCTTGTCAGCAAGGAAAACTGGGCTGACCAAGCAGCTGGATGTTTGCTGCTGTTAGAGCTACTTAACCATCAAGGTCATCTGAGATCTAAGGAGGATGAATTTCAGTAGAAAGTAAATTTTAAATGTTGTTTTGTATCACTTAAAATGACAGAGATTTACTTAGACAGTTGGTTGAAGCATATCAAGTCCTATCAGGAATCTTCCTCTCTGGCCTGACAAGGCTGCATCACCAGGGGAAAGTGATCAAAGAGCTTGCAACCAAGTTCATGACAGAGGCAGCCCCAGTTCTTCTTACTCAGGAAACCACATGGAGACTGAGATGCACATAGGTACATCTGAGCAGGGGTGGACACTATCAACAGAACAAAACAAGTCTACAAACAGGGAAAAATTCTTTACCAACCCAACACTGGACTGAAAGCTAATACCCAAAATGCATAAATAACTCAAGAAATTAGAAACCAACAAACTAAATAATCCAATTACAAGTGAGGTACAGAGCTAAACAGATAATTCTCAACAGAGAAATATGGAATGATGGAGAAACAAACAAACAAATAAAATGCTTAACATCCTAAGTCATCAGGGAAATCCAAATCTAAACGACCATGAGATTCTACCTCACATCCAAAAATATGGCTACGAATAAAACTCAACTGTAAATACATGATGGGGAGCATGTAGAGAAAGGGTAACCCTCCACCATTGCTCGTGGGATGCAAACTTGAAGAACCATTTTGGAAATCGACCTGGTGCTTTCTCAGAAATTTGGGAGTAGTGGTGCTTCAGGATCCAACTATACCCTTCCTGAGCATAAACCCACAAGATGATCTACCATTCAAAAAGGACATTTGCTCAACTATGGTCATTTCAGCTTTAGTTGTAATAGCCAGAATCTGGACACAACCTAGATGTCCCTCAACCTAGGAATGGATATGGAAACTGTGGCACATTTACACAATGGAATAATACTCAGCAATTAAAAAACAAGGAAATCATGAAATTTGCAGGCAAACAGATGTGTGAAGTACCCCCAATTTCTTTTTAAAGTTTAGTTCTGAGGGTTGAAAGTGCTCCTGCACCCCACACACTTACTGCAGAGCGGTGGCATGGAAGCTCAGAATAATAAACATGATGATTTTGTACTGCCAGCCAGGAAATCATTCTGATGCACTTAAAATACTCTAGGGAATTCTTTGCTAATCCTAACTGCCACAGAGTGAAACAAGTGCAGGTGTCCTTTGAGCAGTAAGTCAAGCTGTTCTGAGCTGATTTGCATGCTGAGATATTAGCCACAGTGTACATTGTTCAAGGCCTCTTTACAGGCAGCATTCCAATGCTGGAGAAGCAGCCTCCTCCAGTCAAGCTCTCAGAGATGGGGTCAAATTCTCTCCTGCTATGGAGACTGCTGCTGTGGGTGTCAGGTGAGAGGTTCCAGTTTTGGGAACAACTCCTGCAGCCATTGCTGTTTTCCATGCCTTGCTGTCCTGATCATCAAAATTATGGCATTTATGCAGTGCAGGCACAGGTCCCACTAGGATGAACAAATATGTGATGGAAAGATTAAAAAGGTAGCAAAACGGAGCATAACCTGAGCTGTGGAGAGAGGCAGAATTGGGTTCTTGCTGGCAGTGAGGACCAACCAAGCTGATATGAGTGGTCTCCACAATCCCCTAAGGCTATGGTGATGTTTGGACCTGTGCTGCCACTAAGGGCCATGTCTTGGTCTATGGTCCTACTACAGCCTGGTTCTGTGTTTATGTATGTGGCCATACAGAAGTCCGTGGTCTATGTCACAGCCTGAAGCCATGTGGAGGTCTGAGGGCTGAGCCGCTGCTGAGAGTCACATTAATGTGTCAATCCTGTACTGCCTGTGCTGCGATCTGAGCCCATGGTGATGTACATGCTCTGGTCTTCCCTGATGGTATTGTCTAGTTTTGTGGTCCTACTTCAGATGGATTGTGTTCATTATCATTACTGTCCCCCGAATCATGTTAAAGGCCATGATCCATGCTCCCGCTGATTGTAAAGATCAAGAAACTCTACGTTTGTTAGCAGTGAAATGGATGATTGCAGACCTAGGAGAGAAAGACACATGAAAGGCTGCTGTGACAAACTCGACACCATTTCAACCCACACGCCCCCCAAAAACAGTAGCATAAACAGGAAGCCATTGAAGCAATCTCATTCGTTTTGGTTTTGTTGTTGTTGTTGTTGTTGTTTTTACATACACACTACAGTTTCTTTTCTCTGTCCATTCCTTCTAGGTGCCCTTGCCTTCCTTCTGCCACGCCCCCAACCATTCCTCCTCTGTTTCTCTTCAGAAAATGGCAGAACCTTTTAAAAGTGTGATAAGCATACTAAAGTTAGGTCTTCACAATACATGGTTTCTGCTGCAGGAAGCAGCGACTCTGTTCTCTTTAAGAGAGAACTTAAAGGTCTTCTGCCCACCAGTGTATTGAAGGAGACATTGAGACTCATAGCCAAACTTTGGGCAGAGTGCCTGAATCCTTATGGAAGAAGAGGGAGATAGAAACAACTGGAGGGGACAGGAACTCCACAAGGAGAACTACAGAGCCAAAATACCTGATTCCAGGGGGCCTGAGGAGACCAATACTACAACCAAGGATCACGCATGAAGAGGACCTAGACCCCTCTGTTCAAAGGAAACCCATTGGCTCTTCAGTTTCCAAGTGGCTTTCCTAGTAAGGTATACAGGGGTTGTCTCTGACAAGAACTCAGTGACTAGCTCTTTGATCACCTCCTCCTCCCGGGTGACGGGGGGAGAAGGGTGTTGCCTTGCCAGGCCACAGAGGAAGATGATGCAGACAGCCTTGATGAGACTTGATAAGCTAGGGTTAGAAGAAGGGAAGGAGGTACTTCCCTATCAGGGGACTAGGGAAAAGACATAGGAGGAGAAGAAGGAGGGTGGGTGGGACATGGAGGAGATGAGGGAGGGGCCTGCAGAAGGGATACAAACTGAATAAAATGTAATAAATATATAAAATTAAATTACTTTTAAAAAGAAAGAACTTAAAGAGAAGCAGGTTACTGAGAGTTTGCCCATGCTCCAGTGAATATATAGAAAACATTAATTAAACTTGATATTAATTTCTTTTTCAATTTTAATTTTAAATGTTTGGGGAAGTAAGTCACCATGGTGGAAGACTGGAAGTACTGAGAAATAACTGTGATTGGGGTACATGATATGAAATTGCCAAAGATTCAATAAAAAATATAATGTTGAAAAGTTGTAGCATTTAATTGGTGCCATGTACTTGTGTTTTTGTTTGTTTGTTTGTTTTAAAGGCTTCTCAGAGTGCAGCTCATGGCTACTGTCCTATATTCCAAATAGGAATGTTCTCTACTGGGATGCTTACAGTACATATGTGACAGCAATGTGTGTTTAACATTTCAGGTTCCACTGGTGACATTGTGCTGACCCAGTCTCCAGCTTCTTTGCCTTCTTTCTCTAGGGCAGAGATACACTTTCACTGCACTGCCAGTGAAAGTGTCAATTCATTTAACTACAGTTTTACTCAGTGTTATCAACAGAAACCAGGACATCCCCCTAACCTCTTCCGGTATGCAGCATCCAAGCTAGCATCTGGGGTCCCTGCCAGCTTCAGTGGCAGTGGGTCTTGGACAGACTTCAGCCTCACCATCCATCCTGTGGAGGCTGATCCTGCTACAATCTATTACTGTCAGCAGAGTAGGGAGTTTACTCCCACAATGCTCCAGGGCTAAAGAGAATCCTCCTGGGGTTCCTGCTTACTGAGGTTCAGTCTCTGAACTGTCTCTTACATCTTTACTACGGGAAGCTAGAAGTCATGTTTGTAATGAGCTGTAGGACAGAGATTTTTAAAACGATATATATTTGTCTCACTATATAAACTTTATACTTTTTCAGTCTCTTACTTAATAAAGAACTTCATGATACAATTTTCAAAGCATTTTAATGTTCAATACACTGAGCAAACAATTATTTAAAATTTGCAGGAACCTATAATAAGCCCCCCCCCCAAAAAAAAAAACAGAATATTGAACATTGAAGGATGGTAGTGGTTTTACAGATATAAGCTAATATTTTCAGCCTATGTTACATTTCCACTTCTATTTGTGTGATATTTCACAAGTTCTTCTTCAGCACATCACACAAGCAAGCCTCCTGCAGCTGATTCTTCTAATCTCTGATATGTTTCTCTGTTTTCTTCCTAGATGCTCATCTACTGTCTTAGACTGACTACCTGTTCTTTCCTCCTTATTCAATACTCATATCTTTCTCTATAATATCTTCCACAATGTCATAGATTCTCTTCTTGTATTCTTTGACTTTTAGCTGTCTTCTCAAGTGGAGGAGTGCAAAGTCTCACTGTGTGTCCTGGATTGTAAATCCCTCTGTTGGCAAGTGACCTGGAGCCTGCAACTCACGTGCCCCTTTCACTTAACTGCTGGATTACTTGACACTATTCGCAGCTCCTTTTCATTTTCTACAAGTTCTTCAGTGCAGGTGCATGAACTCTAGAGGACCAGGCATGCTGAGCCATGATCATGGAAGGTTTACTTTCTCACATCCTCCACTTGAACATGAACCTTCTTTGGGCTTTTGTATCCTTCCCATGAGACTGAGAAAGCTCAATAAAATGATACTTATCATGTTTTTCAAATGAATATTACTGAGAGTTTTAAGTTCACAGTCCTAAGTCACAACAATGAAACTTTATTTTATCACTTTCTTAGTGTTGCACAAGAAGTTAGCACCAATTCAGTGGCTTAGAAGCAGAACACTTGTAATCTGGGCAGGTTATGTCTGGATCCTTTCCTCGGGCTCTCATAGGCCGCAGTCAAGGTATTATCAAGGCTGCATTCTCATGTGCTGACTCAAGAAAATATTTTGGTAAGACCAATGACGGTAATGACGGTGTCAGTACAAATTTCTTTTTCTTTTCATTAATTTATTTTTCTTCTTCTTTTTTTTTTTTTTTGTTCATTTTGCTATAGGGTCTCACTTGACTCTTAGTCAAAAAGCTGCGAATCTGAGGAAGTCCTTACACAACCACTCATGCTGTCATGAGTAAAAACCTGATCCTTCCTGACCAGTGGTTTTC